AAATCATATTGGCTTTATTTTTAATCCTTTTTCCACAAGTTGAATTTCTGAAGTTATAAGACTTTCCATTAAAATAAAATTATTGTCTCTTTTTCCCTTGGTTGGTACATAAAAGTTTATATAACCAGTAGTAATCTGGAGAGGATTTTCATAAATTCCAGAATTGGACTGGGACACTGGACATTTCCAAAGTCATTGTCTCTCTTTGCAAACGTTATTTTAAACTATACAGTTGTCGATGTCCACAGTTTTTGACAGAAAATAACAGTTTTATCAACTTTTCTCTAATCCTACTGATTGATTGTGAGTTAAATTCAGGTTTTCTTCATTGGTTGGTGTTTTTTGGTTTTTTGTTTTTTTTTGGTGCATAACCAAATAAGCCATTTTATTTACTTATTCAAAAGCCATTTATTGAGCACATACTACACAGCTGTAACTGGGCTGTGTGTGCACAGCAGATGGAAGAACACTATCCCGACAGGGCAATGCAGTCTATCATGTACACACACAGGGATAGGACATGCAGTCTATCATGTACACACACAGGGATGGGACATGCATGTAGATGACTAACACATCGTTGATAATTGCTCAATACTTTTTCTTCCTTTCATCCCATATGGAAGTGATAGTGCAATGTGTTAAAAGGAATACATTAATAAAGCTACTTCCTTTAAGTGCAGAGAACCTTGGAAGGAATCATAGCATATGTACCTCCTTCTTTCCTTTAACATGTTCATGCTAAAAGATCATCATATATTGGGCAAAGCACCAGCCTAGGGCTCTACAGATTTAACTTCGTGTCTTAACAATTATCATATTCAGTTAGTAGTGGTTTTGTTTGTTTTTTTTAACTTAATCGCATTATTTAACTTCCTTATACTTTAGCTTTCTCATCTGCAAGATGGAAAAATAGAATCCCTTCTGCCTACCTCCCGTCACTGTGGAGGCCAGACAAAATAATGTACGTGAGAAGATTTTCTAATCTGTGGTGTGATTTCCCCTGCCCGGACATGATCCTGTGTTGGGGGCTGAGTAATGCATTTAGCACCAGGTACTCATTTTATAAAAGTGGGTGAATTGTTTCGCCATTCTCCCATTATTTAGAGCAGTGTTTAATAAACCACGAGTGAAATGCTCACAGATAATAATAATTATTCCTATTTTCTGAGAGCCCATGATAGGCCAGGCCAGTTGGTTTACGGGCACGGCCTTGTTTGATGTGCATTCCACTTCTGAGCTTGGCTCTGTATGAAAATAATAGAAATCTAAAGATATTATAGAACTTGCCCAAGTCACAAAATTGTTGCATCTAATGACGAAATTTATGAGCTTAACTGCCGTGTGCTATCACACGCTGACCTAGAACTCATCATTATCTCCATGTTTGCACTACCCCTTTGACCCCATCCTCTCCAGAAAAGCCCTCGGAGAGGCTCTCAACTTCCCTGGGCTTTAGTTTCCTCATCTCTATCACTGGACCACCGATGGGCTCTGTCAATAAACGAATTAGCCCTGGCCAGTGGCTCAGTGGTTAGAGCACTGACCAGCACACCAAAGGGTTGCAGGTTCGATTCCTGGTCAAGAGCACATACCTACCTGGGTTGTAGGTTCAATCCCTGGCCCAGGTCGAGATGCATGCGAAAGGCAACCAATCAATGTGTCTCTCTCACATCAATGTTTCTCTCTCTCTCCCGCTCACTCCTTCCCTTCCACTCTCTCTGAAAAATCAGTGGAAAAAAATATCCTTGGGTGAGGAATAACAAAACAAAAATGAATAAATAACTGACATAAATAAACAAATTATATAAACTCTATATCCTGAGACCTCATACTGTCAGAGGAGAGAGAAAATGCATGCATGCATACATACATACATACATACATACATAAACGTGCATTATCTGTCGTTGTGAGACGTGCTGTAAAGAGAAATAAAGCAGAATAAAGGGGTAGTTATATTTTAGGCAGCATAGCTAGGGAAGCCTCTCTGAGCAGGTGACCTGGAGGAAGTGCAGCAGCCAACCCTGTAGACATCGGACAAAGCGTGACACAGTCATGTGCAGAACTACAGAGCGAAGGCTACAGAACTACTGTCAGGCGAAGGGTCTGCCAAGCGGAGGAAGCAGTGTGCTCGGTGTGTTGCAGAAACAGCAAGGAGCCAGCGTGGCCACAGTGGACTGGGCGGGAGTGGTGGCCGTCACAGGTGAGCTCAGTAGGAGGGATGCAGGACAGACACACATGTCCTCGCAGGCCCTGGGAGCACTTTGATATTACTCTGCACGCCACGAACAGGTGTTCGACATCAAGCAGAAGAAAGAGTGTGATCTGACCCTCATTCTGATAGGATCCCTGCACTCTGTGGAAACAAGGCTGAAGATGGAGCAGTAACAGACGGCAGATCTTGACCAAGCTTTGGATGAATTCAATTCTGCACAGAGAGAACGGACGAGGACATGGCCGTGGAGTGAGAAGGGAGGCGGCCCTTGAGGTACAGGGTTTCCAGTGTATAGGCAGCAGGATACAAAGGTGATAAGGTACAGAGGTAACAGGATGCAGAAGTGCAGATGAGACCAACAAGTCAAGTTTCAAGGGGACTTTGGCCGGAGCTACTAAGAGGATCGTCCCTGAAAAAGTGCTTGGCACACAAAGGAGCTTAAAATTTTTTATGAACGAAATGAATGAATGAATGAATGAATGCATTTCTGTTAGAAAAGTCTTTGTCAGGGATGCAGGTTGAGTTACAATCAAGAGTTTTATTTTGGAGAGGTTGATTTCCAAAGCCTCCAACCGGAGGTCTTAAAAATTAGCAGATACACACACACACACACACACACACACACACGTATGTCTGCAGTCTGCATTGCTGGCTGTAGGTATATGTTTGGCAGTCTTTCATTTGTAGATGGCATTTAAAGCCACTATAGAATCACTTAAAGAGTGAGTATAGCCCTGGCTGGTTTGGCTCAGCGGTTAGAGCGTCGGCCTGCGGTCCTGAGAGACCCGGGTTCGGTTCCCGCTAAGGGCACGTACCTCGGTTGCAGTTTGTCCCCGGCCCTGGTCGGTCGTGCGGGTGGCAGCCACTCGATGTGTTCCTTTCACATCGATGTTTCTCTCTCTCTCTGTTCCTCTCTCTCCCTCCCACTCTACCTGAACAAAAAATGAAAAAATGTCCTCGGGTGAGGATAAAAAAAAAAAAGAGTGAGTATAGCCCAGCTGGTTTGGCTCAGTGCTTGAGCATCGACCCATGCACCAAGGGGTTGCTGGTTCGATTCCTGGTCAGGGCACATGCCCAGGTTGTGGGCCAGATCCCCAGTGGGGGGCATGCAGGAGGCGGCCAATCGATGTTCTCTCTCCTCGATGTTTCCATCTCTCTCTCCCTCTCACTTCCTTTCTCTCTAAAATCAATAAAGGAAAAAAATAAAATAAAAGTGAGTGTAGATAAAGAAGAGACCCACTAGGGCGCCCAGGTGCTCTCCAAGGTTTAGTGGCCCGAGACACAAGGCAGAACTAGTGACGGGAGCTGAGCATAGCGCCGATGAGGTCAAAGGAGAATCGAGAGTGGTTTCCTAGGGCCCAAGCGCAGGGAGGACAGAATGGTCACTATTTCTAATGCTACCAACTCTTGCCTAATATGAGAAATGAGAATTGGCTACTAGATTTAGCAACGGACATACGTTTTCACGGCCCACCTCTTCTTCGCCCCTCCACACACACTTACCACTACCCGTTGCCTTGCTCTCGCGTTATTATAAATCCAGGCACATTAACTTATAACTAATATCTTATATATCCTATGGAAGGGTAGTTAATGATTCTTGAAACCATGAGATTTGAGGAAACTTTATATAAGGTTGAGTTACACGTTTTAGAAAACTGATGACAAAAAAATTCCCAGATCATCTCAAAAATAAATTTTAATCTTATTCAGTCTTATGCAATAGTAATGATATGCACTCGTGGTATGTTGCCCTGAGGTTCAGGAAGCAGTTTTACTTACAGTATCTGTTTCAAACAAACCATGTAACACAGTGAAACACTCGGCTCTGAAGCTACACCATCGGGCTCCACTACCTGTTAACACCTCCTTGAAGGAGTCAGCCACAGACCCACACTTCACTCCCCCTCGTGCCTTGAAGATTTTCACACCTGCTCCCTGTTCTCTCCAGTCCCACTCCTGATAGAATTCTTGGTGATTTGAATATCCATGTCAGTCCCTTGGTCTTGATTACTAATTGCATGAGCTTTTTCTACCTGCTGTTGTTCGAATTTCCTCTTTGTGCAGTTGGCACAAACTGTATGTCTAAGCTGTCAAGGTCTGAATTGGGTGGAATTAAAGATTGTTCCGTTTACTTCATTGTGCTTTGCAAAATGCCAACTCTACCTCTCCATGTTTCTTTGCTTCAGGTGCTCTGTGGCTTTTGATCTCAGATTCTAAATTTTAATCTGCCATTGCCAAGGGGGTGTTCAGAGGGGCGAGGAGGTAGCATGAAGGATGGGTAGGGGGAGGAGATGTTAGTATCTCTCTTGGTTGTGAACATGGGGAAAACCCAGTTGGCCTTTGCAGAAGAAACCTATGTCAAATTCTTAACACGCCATTCGACCTTAACACTCAAAGTATTCTGTTTACCTATTTCTTAGCCTCATTCAAAATACTCTATCTCATTTGATCTGCCAAGGTGCCTGTGGTCAAGACGCTGGAACAGAGAGAAAATGTGACTTGCTAAAGGTCATGCATCTGATAAGTCAGAACTAAGTACAGACTGCAGACTTTTTAAACCAATTGCATTATTTTTTATTGGCATTAAACAATGCATTGTTCAAAATGGCCAGTGGATAAAATCGCAGCCTTGGCTTCCTTCCCAGGAGAGTGTTAAAATACAGTTGTGATTCAATAAAGATTGTCACTAGTGCTGTCTGTGGTGATGGTGGTGGCGGCAGGTAGAGAAATGTGCTGAATTGTTCTAACGGATGCTTTTTTTTTTTTTTTTTTTTTTTAGATCGTCAAACACGTTGCCTGTTTGCAGCATGGAGACCACAATGGAGAGCTAGGTGGGTGATGTTTCATGCTAACCCTTTCCCACACCATGCGGAGCACACCTCAGCTCATGTGAAGTGGCTCATTATACACTGTCACCTCCAATAGCCGCAGCGACCGGCTTTGCTGGCACGAGAGGCTTGCGGGACGCCCAGCCGCTGCAAGCCACTACTGGGTTTCAAAAAACAGGCTGCAGTGTGGTACCACAGACAGACTGAGATTCACATCTGCAAATGTCTTGTATGTTTCTCTCTGCCAGTTTAGAAACAACCTTCGTGTTCCCAGCTTGATGCCAGCGATGGCTGTCCTTGGGATCCCCCTCTCTTGGGAGTGCCCCCTCCTTCCGTCGTATTTTCAGAGCTCAAGGTTTTATAAGGGTAGTGGTGGCTCGTGGACAGAGCCGGACTGCTGGTTCTCCTAAGGAGATATTTCTGCAGCTCCCTCCTCCCCACGCCTCCGGCAGCCAATCATGCCGTCTGCACACACACTCTTACCTGTTCCTGGAGAACCCAGCCATGGTGGCATTTCCTTCCACCGAGAGACGATCTGGAGGCAAAGCACTGACCTCTTGCCTTGCGATCTATGATCAAGTGTCTTTTGTCTCCATTCAATTGCCGTCCCTTGGAAGGCAGGATCCTGGACTTATTTCAGTCTAGTACCTATGAGCCATGAATATTTATCAATAAAATTAATGCATGCCCTTCTGCAAAGTCCATAATTAAGTTGGGGGTAGGATTTAATCCTCTTGCCTTCCTGGGCCTGGCGCAGTGCCTGGCACAGAGCAGGTCAACACCACGGGTGTGTTTAGCGACAGAATGACGATTTGAAAGAGTTCAGCCATCTGATGATACCTTGTGGCCAAAATACAGACTAAGCAAATCTTTCCAATTAGAGTCAGAGAGGTCATGACACCTAGTCAAATTTTTTTTTTCCGGGCCGCCAGGAATAATGTACTAAAAGTGGTTTTTTTATTTTGGAAGGCAAAAGCTAATCTGAAGCTATTTTCTTTATTTTTATATTCAAATGTCGATAAGACAGGAAAACACCAGAGACCTGTTCATTGCTCACGAATGATCTATGAGGTATTAATGAGCTTGTTTTTTCAAATGTGCTGCACTTTGGTGCTATCTGGGGTTTAATTGAAAATATGCTCTGACCTTGGTTTTGTTCACTGGGCGTGGGGGTTGGGGGTCTAATTGGCACGAGACCTCTGAAGAACTCCCTTTTAGCCAATGTCATTTAGCCAATTTGGGGTTCGCCAATGAGAAATAATGTAAGAAGTCCTGTCAAATGTAAAAACAAGCTGCATATTAGTTGTATGCAATTCACATGAAGCTAATAGTTTACAAAACAGGAGAGATTAACTTTTTATTTTGCTATACCTGTTTGTTGAATTCTAAATGCTATCAGTATCATACTAGTATTGGCCTTAACGGCTTCATGTTTCATCATAATTAAATAAACAGCTTGTGAATTGCAGTCCAAAAAATGTCTGTGTTCCACTCTTAACTTAAGGGGTTTCCATAGAAACCGTGGGCAGCAAGTTTAACTGACATTTATTGGACCTGAGGCTCTCTGCAGCATTGATATCTGTTTTTCCTCCGTCCCTGTGTGTGCGTATACGTCTCCTATCACTTCCTCTACCCCTCACAGTCCTGCCCCACCTCAGCCCTTCCCTGGGCCCCTTCGCCCTCCTCCCCTTCTCTTATGAGCAATGAGGAAGTAATTTGGACTCAGTTAGATTTAACAAATGCAATAATACTAAAATGAGCTCTGATACTTAAGTGTAATTGTGTTATTAGCTGGAAATGTTTTTCTTCAAAAACAAAAGAATTGAGAGTGAAGTTTGCTCAAATAGCACATGCTGGCAAGAAGGAACCCAGTGGAAAATTTGCAGTCTCCAGAGCACAGCCCACGTTCATACCCCAGCGATGGCTTTTCCTTGATTAAGTCAACCCAGGCCGATGCTCCTCTTCCGTCCTAATGTTCAGTCTTTCACATGGAGCATAGAATCATTGTGCTGAGTATCTTCCAAGAGAAAAGATGCGTTGATCTAGGAAGAAAACACGTGCTGTATATTGTACACGCACTGTACGCAAGATAGTTTGCTATGTAATTTAATTTAGGTTGTCTTAGTTAAGCTCAAACAATTCACTGTCAGGCAGGAAAATGGATCTGGAGCTGGTGGGTAAAGTTTAGACCCCCGAACCGGGTGACAAAATGAATATAAGCACTTCTAAGAAATGGACTTTTATTAGGATTAGAGATGATAATGTAGCCAGTGCCCTGTAGTAGTGAGGAAAATGAGTTGCCAAAAGATTAAGTCATTTACCCAAAGCTAGAAAGTGTGTGCACACAGTGCTGTGGTTAAAGGGGTCGACAGAGACCGACCTGGAATCAGTTACCGACAGTGCGATTTGGGGAAAGTGATTAACAGAGCATCTAGTTGACAGATCACGCAGTTGTTGTGAGGATTGAGTTACATGGCATATGTAAAGTACTCAGAGAGTGTACGCCAGCTAGAAAGTTGTTTGCTGTTTTCCTCCCTCCCCCACCTTTCTGAATTATTTTCTTTTTAAGTATGGATTCAAAGTAAAAAATGATCAGTCTTTAAAAACTATCTAATACTCATAGTTTAAAATGATCTCACAATTTATGAACTATCTCAAGGTATCCTGATAACAATGATAAAGGAAAGACAGATAATATCATACCCATTCTACAGGTTAGCATAACGGGGATCCAGAGTTGTTATTGACAACATCTCCCTATAGTGAAGGAGGAAGTTGAGATTTTTTACCTGGGTCTCTAGGGTTCTTCTTATAATTCAAACTCTCAAAGTATGTTATTCTTATTTGGGTCCTATGTACATGAGTTTTAAAGCTGAAATCCAACCCGGCCGGTGTGGCTCAGTGGTTGAGCATCAACCCATGCACCAAGAGGTTACGGGTTCGATTCCCGGTCAGGGCACATGCCCAGGTTGTGGGCCCGATCCCCAGTGGGGGGCATGCAGGAGACAGCCAATCGATGTTCTCTCTCATCAATGTTTCCATCTCTCTCTCCCTCTTCCTTCCTCTCCCTCTAAAATCAATTTTTTTAAAAGCTGAAATTCAGCCTATTTTAATTCATATTTCTAATAATGGTAAGAGGAAGAAACTTGTCGGGGAAGGAGAGAAAGGAGTGCAGAAGAAGTAGCTGCAAATCTGTCCCTGGCGGACATGTTTCCAAGTTGTTCTCTCAGGATTCCCAGGGACATGTAGAACTATAAGTGTCAATCTCGGGGCAGGTGAAGGATTGATTTTGTACAGCAATTCAATGTTTCTGCTTGGAACAAAAGGGTGGGTGGGAAGAAAAAACTCCAGTCGGGTATCAGTCAGAGATCCGGCGAGCACCTAGTGAATGTACAAGAGAACATACAGCCAGGGCAAGGGTACGGTGGGGCTTGCTTACTGGAGAGCGTGATCATTAACACGCACGCGAACATGCATACATGGGTGCAACCACATGTACACAGACACAGGTATAAAGGATCCATTTGAATAAGCATGTCTTTAAATTATAATTAGTGTCTGGCCTCAAAGGGTTCATACTAGTTGATAAAAATGTTAGCTCTACCATTTTTATCGGTTGTATGTTTATGCTTGCTTTATTACTAGAATATGCATTCTGCATTGTCTTTGGAAGAATCCCTGGAAGCTCCTCTTCTTTATTTTTTTTTGCATTAGTTTAATTAAAAGTAAATAATACAATCCCCAAAGCCACACTACAGGAGTCGTAGTGTCACCGTGAGCTAAGAGCACAGGAGCAGGTAATGCGTAGCAATGCCTCTGTGTTATGGAAATCCCTCTTTTACGTAGGATTCCTCCCATTATGGGACCCATGGCACCATTGCCAAATTAGTGAGTCTTAATCTTTTTTCTTGTTTTGTAGATGAAACAAATTATAAATAGAAATTTTAATATTTTTCTTCTGTGCCCTAATGGATCGTCTTGCTACATTCAGGGCCGAGGAGAGTGGGTGAGAAAAGGAGTCTTTCTGGATGCTCCCAAGCAGAGTCATCACACTCTTTTTTAGAGGGCCACAGAGTAAGTAGACACAGTCTGTCACAAAGGCACTATTCTGCTTTACTGTGAAAGCAGCCACAGATAATACACACATGGGTGGGTGTCGAAGTGTTCCAATAAAACTTTATTGACAAAAAACAGTGCTGGGCTGAACTTTGTGGGCAGTAGTTTGCCAACCATTAATCTTAGAGTTTTGTTTATATTTCCAACCATCTTCCATTTCTGTTCACATGGCAGTTACGGCTTAAAAGATGAGACTGGGAGGTGTAAGAGTAAACACCATCTCATGTTCTTCTCTCATTTTGTGGATTTTCCTTTTTTTTTCTTTATTGATTTTAGAGAGAGAGGGATAGAAACATCGATGAGAGAGAACATCAATTGGCCACCTCCTGGATGCCCTCCTCTGGGGATCAGGCCCACAACCTGGGCATGTGCCCTGACCGGGAATTGAACCGGTGATCTCTTGGTGCCTGGGTCCATGCTCAGCCACTGAGCCACACAGGCCTGATGTCACATTTACTTATGATTAAACTTCATCTTTTCAGTATTTCTTTCTCACAGGAAGAGCATCTTCTCTGTCTGCACCTTACAGAAGGGAACAGGAAGTTTAGATGGCTCGCATCAATGTCATCTATAATATTCACCTGGGGTGTCAGCCTTGTGTTTTTCCAATTGGATTATTCTTTCTTACATGCATCATTTAGAGAATAAAGAAAAATGGTGGGAGGAGTAGCCAACAGGTCATTTTCATTATCTAAACTAAGGAAAATGTAGATAATTAATGGCTTAAATAGGGACATATAGAGGCCCCCTCTAATGTCTTATCCCATTAAGATACCATAGGGGACTGAGTTCCTTATTGCTTTCATGTGTATTCCTGTTTTTGTGTGTGTGTGTATGTGTGTGTGTTTTTTTTTTCATGATTTAATTTGGAAAATAATACACTGTAG